AAAATTGCATTTTAAGAACTACGGTATGTTCTGCCGATTGTGTCATAAGGTGATTCACAAATCATGCCTTCCCTCAGAGGATTCTGTAGAGGAAAGTAATTCAAACGAGGAAAAAATATTTTTGTGTGTAAAACATTTTGACTTATTAAATGACTGAAGATTAATAAACCATCAGTAACAAGCTAATTGCGTCCAACAATGCTATTTGACTGCGTTGGGCGTTTTACAATCCATTTTTATCAATATCCATCACTGTATCACAAAGTGCGCCCGATAGTCTTGAAAGTGCCCATCACTATATCGTGCCTTATTTTAGTTTCATATTTTATAAAATGTGAAGTATAATGTTGAACTGTTTAACTTAGTAGCCTCATTAATGGATACATGTTTAGTAATTTATTTCCCAACTATGAATTTTGTATTGTTGAAATAAACATATAGAATTGCCCTTATAGTGCCCATGACTGTGTGCTCTACCCTATCTCCATTAAATCCACACAAAAATGTGTGAAAGAAAGTTAGAGAATCGAATGTGCATACTAAGTCTTAAGCGGCAGAAATACTTGTACAATCTTCATTTTCTTCAAACTTCATAATATTTATCGTGTTTGTTGATGTTTTTCACACTTTTTTTACATTTAAGAAATCTTCTTAACTTTCCTCATCCGCACTACTTTCTTCCAAGGAGTGCTTTCATTTTCACCAGTCTCCTCTGGCGCCCGACCTGGCAGTTTCGAATTCCATGTGCTCCTTCCTTTTCTTCCTTCATATTCCCCTCTCTACTATCGCTGGCCTCGCCACTTTTCTTGTCTGACTTCCTTCTTTTCTCGCGACAGAATTGAGGATTGTTGTCCAGCATGCTTCGAGAGTCCGTTTCCGCAATGAACATTCCTCTAGATAGCAGCGCTTCGCCTAACCAGTGCCACCCACGTCTCCGAAAAAAAGCCACCTGCCGCCAGACACTGATAGGATGGGAAATTCCAGTCAAGTTAGTCAACAGGATACAAGTACATCACTTATGTTGATCTTGGGGAATATTTGTGATCGACACTTGGTTGCGCGATTATCACGCCACGAAATAATGAAGGCAGTTCTATTTTTATTGGTAGAATTTGTTGCATAGTTATGAAACATTGATCTCAACGACTTATCAACTTAAAAATTTGAGACATTTTCAAATTTCTAAGAAAGAAAAGATAAAAAGAGAAAATGAAGTGGCTTGTAGAGTGTAGAAGAGAGTAGGTGAAACACTAACAAAAAATAACATGAATGGCAACTTTTGTGAGAAATGACGTATTTTGTGAATACTGGATTTAGTTTTAATAACGTTTCCACTCTCTCTACGCTCTTGTTAAGAAAACTGCAACATTTTCAACAAATTTCTGCTACATAAATTATTCAATATTACGTTGTCAAAAGAACCAGAATTTTGGCTGTTTTAAGTGTTTAAATGCTCGTACTTTGAGGTATTATTTTTTTCATTTACGTTATTTCAATTTCGTGAAAAATAGTTTTGAACTTTGGGATAATTTGACTTAATTTTTTCCAAAAAGCGATAAGATACATTAAGTATATACTACATAAATATATTTAACTTAAATATTAAGAATGTAAATACATGAAATAATTTTATAAAATATATAAAATTATTAAAATATTATACAAAATAATCGATAATTGGTATTGCTAGTGGCTTATAGCATCAAAAAATGCTAATGAACACAACCACTTAAAATGGATTTCAAAAAATTAGCACGCACACTGTTCAAGAATAAATAAAATACTCTAATGTAACACTGCAATAAATTAAATATTTTAACAAAGAGTCTTCACGAAAATTTAAAATATAATACAGTACATTCAGATACCCAGCGGAACGGTGTCTTACATACTAAGAATGTCAAACTAGTGATGGTACAGAATGCACAATATTTCTCGTATTAGTTTCCTATTCTCTTCGATGTCTGAAAGACTAGCAGGAGCTCTCGTGGTAACATCAGCCCTCTGCTGTCTCTATAGTATAATGTTTGGTTTAATTCAATATCTCAATCAAATATATCAAACAATGTGTGCAAACGAAAAAAGAGAACGTTTTGACAAATGTTGATGAACGGAAGTTCTTGATACAGACTGGCGGTGAATAATACATGAATTAGCTACAGAAGAATGTATTTGGTTCACATGGTACTATTATTGTTTTATTACTATTCTGGAATAAAATATTGTTCAGATTTAGTGTAAAAGCAATCGATGTCTTTGCATGCTTCGATGTGAACGATTAAATAAGGAAGGTTCTATTCTAATTGTTCAAATTAATTATTCCAAAAATTTTCATTCATAAATGTTTACTATAGTTCCCGATTACCTCTTAACCATGTGGAATCAGTTACGAAATATATGAATTTGCGTCCAAATCATATCGACACGCGAAAAATTCTTCTTTTTTTATAACCGTGGAAAATGAAGCATTCAGAAACTCGGCATTTACAAGATGCCAGAACCCGAACAACAAAACAGTTACTCTTTAAAAGAACTTCAGCTACTATATCTATACTAGAAAAATGTACATTAGATAAATTAACCTTATTTTACTGGTATTAGACCAAATGAAACGCTTCTCCGTTAATAATATTTGGGGACGATGGATAGAGGACACTACTGAATGGTGGTGACGACCGAACTTCCTCACCGAACGTCATTTCTTAAGGTATCTTTAGATTCCGAAGAATTATTCGCGTCCAATTTTCTCAAACCATGGTTTACGAAAATTGTTTAAATAGATATATCAGAAGCGACACCCCACAATATAGTACAATATCGTACTAACGTGCCACAAGAACGGAATTCATTTGCCTACTATGGCAGCAAGGTCTTTAATTTTCTCATAAATCGTGAGATTTTTTGGTGACCAATAAATTCTGAACATAACACGAAATGCTACAATGCTACATCGTCCAAATAAAAATATCGTCTCCGCTACGTTACGCCCCGAATTTTAACTTTTGGCACTTGCAGTAATAACACTCGTAACATTATTAGGTATGTTAATTGCTATTAAAACCTAACATTGAGTTAATGTAGAATTGACTTCATTATGTTTAAGAAGGGAAAACCCAAAATCTCCAAGGTAATAAGCGAAACCGGCCATTTTAAAAAGAGAAGACCTGTATAATTAATTATAATAATTTATAAACGAAGACAAACAGAGAAATGATAAAAAATAATTTGTCTGAGAACGATTACAATGCTCTAGGTTAACGTAGTGGTAAAAGGTTGGATCGTCATAGGATCGGCCACCCGCAACTCAGCTCGCTGCAGGATTGTAACAGTTTCTTTGGGAGGAGTTTGACCGCCCAATAGTCCGTATCTTCCCCCAGCGAATTCCGTCTTCTGTTACACCTCAAGAAATTCCTGTCCGGCCAGCATTACATGTATCAAAGTGACGGAGATTTGTAGGTGGCTATCAAACACTGGTACCTCACCCAGGCGAGATACTTCTACATCATAGGGATACAGATCTTGATCCCACGGTACAACAAATATTTGAACTCTGGTTATGATTATGAGGGAAAATAGTGCAACATGTGATGTAAACTGACAATACCGTTTTACATGGAATTGTGTTTTCTTTTCGTTGACGACCTAGGAAAATGATTTTTTCTAGATCATTTCGACCGACCTGAAGAAGAGGCATTCGACGAAAACATTCGTAACTGAATCACAAATTTCGTTGGAGCCGATCGGGTGGCCGAGATCGCTAAGGCAGTAGTGCCGTAGCGAACTCGGACCGAAGGATCGCGGGTTCGAGTCCCGCCTCGGGCATGGTTGTATTGTGTTTCGTCCTTTCACCCCCTATCATCATCATTATCGTGTCAACCCACAGTTACAATACCGTTACAAGCAATAGTGGTCGCTAATAACCTAGTAGTTGATGCGACCTTAAATAACAAAAAAAAATCGTTAGAAACGGCACAGGAGATACCCCAACGGCGAAGGATCGAATGCCATGTTAAAGATTGAAACACGGAACGAGAAATGCCTTCGAAGACATAGCAGGTAGTTTGAGGAAGTAATTGTGTGATGGGTGTGGCGTAAAGAAGGGGGCTTGTCGAAGAACAAGGAGAAAAGGCTGGCGAGGAATACAGGTACTTGAGCAGACTGTGTATTATACTATGTAGGTGGTAGGTTGGACGGGCTAGGCGACGGGCAATCGCCCAGACAGGCATCTGAAGGCTTCGCCTTCGGCAGCGCCCGTGGCTTGTCGTGTTGTGCAATGCCGCCACACTGCCCTGCTATGAAGCCATTTCTATCCTTTCGCACATCTATTGCTGGTCTGTAAAATAGAAGAAAGAACAAGACCAGGAAAGACAATAGCCGTTCGGCGCGCTTTTGGCGTTGTTTACCGCGATTTTCGTGCAAGTATTTGCGTTTCGCCTACTGTAGCATATCTCTCGGGCGCTTGTACGTGGCCGTAGGATCCGGCTCGTACAAAGTTAAATTTTTAATAAGGTCATTATTTGTCGCGTTTATTTTGAAAAAGAAGTCGCAAAATTTTGAAAGTGCTCTTCGAAGAGCGGTAGTTTTAATGAACATTGTAATTCTGAGACTGATATAAAGTGGCGCATAGAGAATGCTACGAAGGCTGTTCTATTTGCAACTTATTCAAGTGCGCGTGCGCCGCGATTCCCCAACTTGGGCAGGCGTAGTCCATAACGGGCCTAATCATGGCTTTATAAATTAGGAGGCTATTCGGTATGGACAGTTCCTTCGGCAGCGCCGCGGCGAAGGCGGTTTGGGTGACGCTACGAAACCCGCGCCTCGACGGCCTTCTGCTGACCCTCGCTTTCCCGAAGCGGAGCCGCGGAGAAAGCGGGCGGCGGCGGCGGCGCCGGAGACACCCGCGTGGTACGGGGCAGGGGGGGGGGGCAGGCAGGGGCGACGGCGGCGGAGGCACAAGCTGCAGTGTCACTGGCGGCTGGGAGGAGGCGCGGGCGACAGCGATGGCAGCGCCGGCGCGGCGGAGAGATACAGCTGGGGAGGTGGCGGGAGAGCTAGTGGTGTGGGATGGAGGTGACGGTGGTAATGATAGATTTGTTTGGGTGTCACGGTGTGCTGGAGGTGGAGTGTACTGGTGGCTGGGCGTGGTGGTGATGGAATGGAATGTTGATGGGGTGTGGTGATGATGGGAAGGGATGGTGATGGGGTGTGATGGTGATGGGATGGGATTGTGATGGGTGTGATGGTAATTGGGTACGATGGTGATGGCATAATGACATGTGGTGTACGAAATGGAGATGTGGGAGGCTGAATGCTGAAGCGAGGGTGAAGTTGTGAGGGTGATGGTTATGGTCGAATTGAAGCAGGCTGTGATGAAGGTCGATGTGACGGTAGCGGTAAAAATTATGAAACGTGTTACAGGTAGGTGCTAGACACAAAAGCAATACAAATAGTAAGGAAAGCGGTGCGATATGCGTCAACAAACGACGTACACTACTTTTCTTGAGATTTCTCAAAACAATCATTGGATACTGAACATAATTTGGCAAATTGGTATGCCTAAAACTCAATGCATACGTATTATTATTATAGCCTTGATAATATACGAATTTTTTATTGGTTTTCAAATGTTCGTATTTTTTAAGTTTCACTTCACAGCATAAATATGAAGTGTTCTTTAATACTTTGGTCTGGAATTCTATCATTCCTTCGTCTGGACCACTGATATAGCAGTTCAATGAATGATGTCTTCCGACAGAGTTGCACACGAATGATATGTTTTTTACTTTTTAAAATCAAAATTTGATGAAGATAATGTTCTTAAATCAAGTTTCCTCCCGAACTAATTGCCATTGTCTCGGACACCCTTTTAAACCACTCTAGGAATTATGGTGAATGGTGATTTATGGTGCATGTAAAATCCAGGTATATTATTTACACCCACGTAACAAACAATTCAGTATTAATACAATCTGAGGTGAACCTTGTTTTTGATTTTGAATTTTTTATGCCCGTTGTATAATTCACTCATTAGATAGATGCAGCTCGTTTTATTCATCACCATACAGCGTAATTACAGTAGAGGAAAGCGACGTAGAGGTAACCAGTCTCAGCGAAGTGTCAAATCCAGCACTGATACATTAATCATTGGCAAATGTTTTATTAAATGTTCCGTTCGATGGTTTTTGTAGTGACAAGACGATCCGCACGGCAGTAGAGATAAACCATGCATGCCCACTCCCTTTCCAAAAATAAGATTTGTTGTGTCAGTTATACTGAAGCACGAGGTGGGGACTGAATCAGTTATCAAGAAAAGAAGTGAAAACACTTTAAATGTGAATGACAATTTAATATTGGCTCCAAACCCGAAGCTCATGTGTGTGCTGCTCGTTTGGAGGCGCTTAACAAATGTCACCTGGAACACCTAGGTTTGCGTTGGCTGGACCATGCAATGCAGCTGACAAAAAGTAAAAGTTAAATGTAAATGTTACATTTCTATTAAATTTCATTAGTCGTAGATAAAGTACTGTATGAAACCCAATATAATGATTCCTAATGCACTTGAATAGAGTTTATGACACTAATTTGTGTCGTAATGCATTTGATATTCGTATGTTACCTCTGTCAGTCCCTCAATATCACTTTTCAGAATTGATTATTCAGCTTGAATATAATTTTTAACAATTAAAGCAATTTTTAAGCATTTTTGTGCCTTATTTGAATCACTTAACAACATATCAGATGATATACATTTGTTCTGTGGATTTCTGGAGTTGTTTTCTCTATGGTGTGTTATTCACGACACTGCATGGTCTGTTTTCGTTTTTGAATTTGTCATCAATGGTTAATTTCTTAAGTAAATGCATCTTCCGTTTTGAAGAATATAGTTTGTTTACAGTTGAGAATATTGCAATATATGAATTATGTACCAAAATGTTGACAGAGAGATGCATGAGAAATGTGTTGTTGCCCTTTGGCTCCCATGGGCACATAGAACATACTTAACCTACAAATGGATGTTCATTCATATCTGTCGTAACTGCGTTTAGGTGATGTCATAGACATTTGCCAGCCAATATAAGATTTTTATTGTAATAGGCTTAAATAAATGAATAAATGACAAAAACAATAACTTAGTTTCTTCTTTGATATAGGAACGGATCTGATATCAGTGATCTGTTTTCTGATCAAGATGATAAGACTAACGTCTCTAGAGAAATATTTTTGAATTTTGTACAGATGCCAAATGAAAATAATGAAATTTTCGAAATGTACAATAACAAAATACCGGATGCTTATTTTATCGTTCGCCGAAGATTCGTGCCGCATCGCCTGTGGAGGGGAGGTCTCGGTTACCGGGAGAAACGCTGACTCAACTCCCGTGCTGACACACGGGAACTACTGCTGCGCTTATCTTACGTTAAAGAACATGCTGAAAACGGTGTCCTTCGGCTCAAATGCATTCTTGGCACCTGAGAAATATATTTTGATTTACCTCTGAAATAAGTCTCGAGGAATTACTGCGATTTTCTCTTCATTAGAGGGCCAGAGCTTTGTCCGAATGTGTTTTCTGCAAATTCCAGATCTTTCAAGTACCTCGAAAGGAAAAAGTCATAAGGGGTCAGATCAGGTGATCTAGAAGACCATAACTCTCGACGAATTATTTGATCGTCACTATAAACAGTATTTAAAAAGTTAATGGATCGATCTTCTGTGAGCAGTTGCCGAATACTGTTGAAAATAACAATGGATCCTTTCTTGTGGTCTCAGTTGTTCGAAGAATAATGTCAATATCTGATACATGTAAACATCAACAGTGGTATAGAAGAAAAAAAGGTCCTTATTAATTATTGTGGAACTCAACACACACTAATCTTCGTGAGGTAGGTGAGTGTTTTCTGCACTCATTGAAGTTGTTTTGTCTGTTGTATTCACGTAGATGAAAGCACGCTTTGTCAGAAAATAGAATCAGAATATGTTACTTAGATGCCAAGATTGCATTCGAGTCGAAGGACACTACTTTCATCAACATCTTTTAAGGTAAGATAAGCGCAGCAATAGTTCCCCTGTCTCAGCACGGGATTTGTCAGCGTTTCATCCGGCGACCGAGCCCTCGCCTCCTCGGACGCGGCCCGAATCTTTGACGAGCGATAAAATAAACATCCGGTACATAAGCAAGGGAAACATTACGTTCAAAAACTTCGGCAAGGTACACAATGTTTGAGATCACAGCTAATGTAAATTTAAAAGTTGATCATTTTTTTACGTCTATTTTCGACCTAGCTAACGAGGGTATACGAATACAGAAATGGAATTGTCTGGAAAAAAATCCTGCCGTTTGTAAAAGAGAAAGTAACGCGTTACTACCAGGCGCGCGGGAAGCAGTTCAAATAACCCATGTGATTGTAAAAATTAGCAAAAAATCGTGGTAAAAATTGTCCAGGTCCATGATTAAGTGTTTAAAATGTTGTGTGAGGGTATGCAGGATAATTCAAAATGGAGCAAATTTCAAATATCCTCCACCAATGAGCGACAATGGAAGGAGACACATACGATATACCATTGGATAGAGAAAAAATCCAAATTTAAGCTTTTACCTATTAATTCCATTTAATGCCTACAGTGTTGCTGTAGTTTGTTTACACGAAAATGGTAAAGCCAAAAGTCGTTTAGTGTACTGCAGTATGCAAAGAGTGAATCCATTGTTTCAGTGCAACATGCATTTCGTGGCAAATTCAACAATGAGCCCCCTCGCCATAAACAGAGTTACAAGATACAAAAGATTGTAGAAGATTGCCTATGTAAAACAAAAGGTTCTGGTCGCCCTCGCGCATCAGAGAAAAATGTTGAGCGTATCCGGTAGGCTTACAACGTAGCCCTACATAATTCACAAGAAGAGGAAGCAGAGAACTTCGGATTCGCTAACAAACAGAATGGCGTGTGCTTAAAAAATGTCTATATCAGAAACCGTGTAAAATTCAATTACTTAAGGCATGGCGACCTGAAAATCATTCAAAAAGATCAGAATTTTGCATTGCAATTTTGGAAGATATGGAAGATGATTCTTTTGCTAGACTTATTGTTTCCGATGAATCAATATTTCAAATCGCTGGTAAAGTGAATCGCTAAAATATCAGAATTTTGAGACGGAAAATCCCTGCATTCATATCGAACATAAAAGAGATTCTCCAAAACTAAATGTATTTAGCGCCATTAGTATCAACAACGCCTTTTTTATTGAGAGAACTTATTGAAATTACGTATCTATACATGTTCCAGAATTGGTTGTTTTCACAAAATTCAAAAAGATAACGATTTCATCTTCTTGCAACATTCTCTCCACCTCACTTTCACTCGCAATATCTGAATGGCACCATTACAGGACGATGGATTCGAAGAAATGGGGAACATTATCTTGTTAATTGTAAGTGGCCTCTCAGGGTATCAGATCTGACGCCGTGCGACTTTTATCTACGCGAGTTCATTACAGACCAGGTATATGTACCATGTAAACCTGCTACTCTTTAAGATCATCGAGATCAAATTGTTACAATAGTAAACTCAATACCCAGCGATCAGTTAATTCGTACGAGACAAGAAATTGACTATCGCTTCCAGATTTGCGGCGCAACAAATCGTGCTCATATTGAATGTACAAATTAAAACTGAATTTTCCTCTATCCATTGATGTGTCGAATGTGTCTCTATTGTCATTCAATGGAGCTTGATATTTGTAATCTGCTCCTTGTTTTTGAATGAACTGTTTTTATAATTGACTCCGCAAAAAGGCTAGTTTTAATTCTCGTGTATGTGTATGATGTGTGTATAATGTATGTATATGCACTAAACATAATTACACCTTAACCCATAGCCGCTCGGCCGGAACGCCGCTAGTAGGACTTGGCCCAGTCAGGAGCTGTTGTGCCAGTACATGCAATATAATATAATATAAAGTTTCCTGTATGCCCATTGTAGCCATACGGCAACACTTCATTAAAAATAAACTCTGGGTAAAATAATAAAAACTTGTTTTTATGTCTTCTGATGTTCCCCTTTATCAATGTTATGCCTTAAATATTTCTTTCATCAAAATAAATAATTAGGATTTAAAGGGTACGTATCACTACATTACCGACTCTTAATATTATTTTCCTAATGCAAAACCATACATTTTAAGTTATTAAGAAATATTTATTGAATATCAAGACTTATTGTGACCCAATATACCACATATTTAAGGCATTACAGTAGCCCTCTAATATTATTTTGAAATGTGTTTATCCTTGTTTGCCATTGGATACCTTATTATGGTTTTAACATTATACATTTCAATAAATATACAAATAACAGTAAAATAAATTTTGCTGAGGACTTTGAATTGCTATAACCCTGTATGACACAACTCCCTTGATGTTCAGGCATGTCATGCTCCAAGCTGCAGCGACTCCAGCAATGTCATAATCTTAGCTGGAAAAGTGAGGAGAAAAGAAAAAGAAGAAGGGGGAGAAGAAAAGGTGAAAAATAAACAAAAGAAGAAAGAAATTAAAAATAGTACACGGAATAAGGTAAAAATAAGAAAGAAAAAATGCGGAGAAAGAAAAGAAAAAGAAGAAAGACTAGAGAAAATAAATATAAGAAGAAACAATAAAAGGGAGATACAGAAGAAAAGGAGAGAAAAATAACTGTTGACCTACCACAATACAGTGTGCTCAGAATATTTTGATTGGTTGGTTGCTTCATGTATAATAGTATAATAATGTATAATAAATATGTTTATGCCTGAAGTTGACGGTATTCTTTCCCCGCTGGATAGTGAGAACGGGCCCCGACCTATATGTCGGCTTCCGATAATTTTCCCTCTTTCAAGTATCTCCCTCAGTGAGTCATCGCCCCAGCCAGGACAAGTTCTAAGCTCTCACCTGATCTCCCGGCATTTTTGGTAATGTAGTGATGTATGTGTAAATATGTAGGTAAGGGATGAGTATAGGACAAGGAAGAGGAAGAAAAGATCTCGCGAGGTCCGTGACTTGTGTCCCGTGTGTAGGGTACTTTTCCGGCATTCATCTGGTATTGAGCGTAGAATAGAAATCACGGAAAACGATCGATTAGAACTAGCGAACGCTAGAATTCTCTTCTGGGTGTTCTATATTGAGATAAGCAATAATGATGTTTGCAGTCTTATGTCTCGCTTAACAAATTCCGATAAAGTAAGTCCCGCCAAGAGAACAGCTAGTAGAATGTAAAATTTATTAATGTAATTTTAAATTCATTTCGCTTTTTGACAACTTTTTTTTTTTAAGAAAACTTACATTATCAAGTTTAAATAGAACTCCGTCCACATGTTGTCTTCTGCCAGAGAGACCCAAAAATCAACCAATGGCGTAGGCGAGAAGGCGTAACTTTGTTGAATATTCGTATAAATTACACATCGTTTTCACTATTTTGACTTCAAATTCAATTAGCAATTTATTAACATTGAATGACACAGTTGCATTTGTGAAAACGTAAAATGAATTTGAATAAGGAATTTTAAATAATAAAATTTTATAGTTTGACTATTTATTTCTTATTCTGATGTTATTAATTTATGGTCATTTATTTATTAATTTTGTTCTATTTTACGACATTCGAACTTATAGACCTGTTAGACTAGGTTCTTGTTACTTTTCAAAATGTTAAACTATTATATCGGGCTAATTCATTATGAGAATTACGACTGACTAATACTGTTTTTGAAGCACAGTCCACCAACAATGTCATTCGCCCCTAGTCTTCGCATACGTGTCGCATACTTAGTATCTCTGTGGTAATTCAATAGGGAAAGAGAAACAGAGACAAAAACGACGCACACAAGATTGAGAATTATAATTCCAATTGTTTCATTAAATTGCTCCCACTACTTTTTGCCAACGCTGCCCATTGATGACATTGACAAGATAAGGAATGGCCAAGTCGCGTGTTTTTCATAACACGAATGGCCTGGCATGCCTTCTACAGACCAATGAAAGTTAGTACATATACGTTAGCTTGCTGCTTTGATAAAATATTTCTTGCAGTGATATGGTAATTTTTTGCTTGGCTGTGGTCTGTAATTACAAATTAATACTTATAATAGTTTAACAGGTTGAGTCGCGTTTCTAAAGCACATCTTGAACATTGATGATTTTAGAAATAAATTAAGAATCATTGTTACAAGTGAAATGTGCACTCGAGCAAAAAGTCGCTTTGACAAATGAGAACAAAGGGTTCTGTTGTGGAAGTTACTATCACCATTATTCCAAATATTGTATGCCTCCTCTATTTATGTTCTTATACGTCAGCAGTGCCGGAATAAGAATATCCAAGAACATTAGGCAACGTCAAGCTCTCACAAAAATAATTAATTGGAAGGTTAAATTATGGTCTTTCGAAGACGTCTGATTTTTGTTTCGATTTCTGCAAATTTTCGTAAACCAAAAGAGACGAAGAATTAGATGGTGAGCGGAAATACCCTTCAGATGTATTTCTGCAATTGTGTAACGAATGTAGGAGAAAAAATCTTGTACATTCCGGATACCCTAAATAAATACAAACCGGCACCCTTCAACGGACCCATTAGAAATAGTGTTTAAGTTTCTGTAATTAATGTAAATGACAAATGCAAACTCTATCGTGCAATTATTTTGTATTTTACCATTCATATATATCCTTAATTGCATCGTTGCTTCACATTATTTATTATATTAAGCGGTATTAAAAAAGATTCCATTAAAACAGGCATGTCTCAGACAAATAGATGGACACCCATTGAAAGAACCTCAAGCAATATTGTGTATTTCCAATATTATCGAACATGCAACTCGCATATCTGTTATCTGGGTCATCACCAAACATACATAGAAGAGTTGCATGAATGGAAAACTTTCAATAAAATGGCGGACATGTAGTCGGAGGATTAACTCTTTTCCGCGATTATTCGCCACGCCATCTGAAGGGATTCATCTTCTCACACCCAAAAGACTATTTAACAGCGACAGATATCTTTTCAAGATAAGGTGAAAATCAGATCCCAAACGTCTAGGAATCTGGTTCTGACTGGATTGTATTCTAGAGTGCTGAATAAGATGCGTCAAGTGTGTCGTAGAGGAGTTGGTGGCTGATTTAATCGGTCAGAAGAGAATACAATCTGAGTGTTCCAGTCTCTTTAAAATAATGGAGTTGGCGTATTAGATATTGCAACTCAACTATCGCAAATTCTAAATGATGCTTGCTGTTTGTTGAGCGTTAGTCATCCCCCTTCATCACATTCACAAAGAAGAGAACTGTACATCAAAGCACGTATTCACGAGATGTAGTCTCAAAAATAATTCAATGTAATTTGAGTTGTTATCCATCTCGATAGCAGGAGGTGAGAATAATGATCCCCAAATAAAAAGGCTTTAATCTTTCGAATTGTACCCCAACACTGTTCCAATTTCAATATTATGAAGATAGCATTGCAGTGAATACCTTTGAATAGTATTTGAATAATGTTAATTCAGTCAAAACCCTATTTAGGTTGTGATGTGATAATTGCGTTCGAAGTAAGGTACTAGACCAAGAAATGAAATAATACAATGTAAATAGTGTTCACATTTCCGCCAAGACCACTATTAACCTGACCTTAATAAAACCAGCGGAAATATTTCAATTTACTGGGCATTTGAATGAAACTATGTAACCTACCAACAAACACTTAAATTGAATGATATTCTTATTTACAAAAAGTACTTGATCTCCTTGAAGGTAAATTAAATCGACTTCATTATTTCTATCGCTATCGTTATTTCGATCCACGTCATTATAAGTAAAATACATGAAAAATGCTTTACACGGATTCCAACCGATAATAGACATGAATGGGACGAAGGTATTGCAAACAACACCTTTCATGATAACGGAAGGCAGAGTGTGCACTCTGTAGATTAACAACTGATATAGGCCAGAACAAACACTATATTAACTCAAAACTTAGGGCGTTACTTTTAAACAGGAAAGAACATGTGGAATGAGAAATCTTCCAAATTATTCCTGTTCATATTATTTTATTTTAAAAAATATTTCGTTTCTGAATAGCCAATAAACTATTACCAGAGTCATACAAGGAAATTCATAAGCAAAATGACAAAGAAAACTAAAGCGATATAACGTCGGCAGAACAATGAAAAAATGGAAAGTAGAAAAAATAACGTGAAAAGATGAAGAAAAGAGATGGAAAGGGTGGGGTGGGAGAAGAATAAAACAAGGAAGAGGAATGCCATGTCAATGTAAAAACACATGACTGGCCAGATGGAAGACGTGAAGAATCAGAAACTGGTTACAAGAAGTTGCGGAAAACAAAGGATTAAACAAATGCTTAATTTTACATTAATATTATCAGAAATCTTCAGAAACCACGATACTATTTTTACAGTATCTTTTCATGATGATAATCTGAAAATGATAAAGGAGCGTGAACGACGCGTGCAGAATGTGTGTCTGTGTGTGTGTGTGTGCGCGCGCGATCAGCTGTGTGTCCTCTCACGTATCCACCGGTGTCACCACCTCCCCGTCACTGCCTGCGCCTGCTCACCGCCACCGCCGCCTCCACCACCACCACCACCAC